ACCAAGGAGGGCGACCCATACCACGCGGGTGTGGTCGGGGTGTCCGCTGTCTCGGTACCATCCTAAACCTGTGCTGCCCAGGTCCGGCAGCGGGTAATGTGTGCGGTGTAGTGAAATGCAAGGCATGCACAACAGGTTATATCATACAGCGCTTCGTACATAAAATAAACCATACATCCAAACACCTCCCTGTAAAACAAGGGTTAACAATCACGCCTCCCCTTATACCCCCCAGTCTGCAAAAACATTTAACACCTAAAATGTTAGGGACGTACCTGGGATCCTCGCTGCCAACCAAAAAATATTTTTTGAAAAGAAAAACTAGCCTAAGTCCACTAAGAGTTTTAACTCAAGTCCCCAGCGGAGTCGCCAAGGTGTCGCGACCAAAAATTTCTCTCGGGCTAATGGATTATTAAGTCTAAGCTTAACTCGAGCCCTCCCAAGCCCTACCAATTCGCAACTTAGGATTTAAGTTTTTAACATGCAAAAGTTTTCATGCTTGGAGTCGCCACTAATCTATTTGTGGTAGGTCGATTAGAAACCTAAATAAAACATAGGGAGATATGTTTTATTCCTACGAACCAGAGATTCTAAGCTCGGGGACTTGATTACGCTAGATCTAATCTAACGCCCTTTCGGTACCTTTACTTTTCAAAAAATGTTTATGCATGCGGTCTGGATCCATTTTAACTTAGTCACTAACATGTGAGGTGATCATGCGGGTGCGCAAACCACCAAAGTAACACTCAATAATCAATAAATTGCAAGATCGGGAGAATTACTTACCTCGAAGCAACGTAAGCATCTGCGTTGTTAGCTAGAAAATCACATCAACAATCCTAATATGATTTCTAATTAACAAGCAGTTCACTCAATATTTTTTTTTTAGGATTTTCACTTATTTAAATGAAAGCTAACCTATATGTAATGACGTGCAAAAATTAACATGCGATTAATGCAGCCTAACATGCAAACTATATGTCATGCGACGACGTGACCTAATTCTAATGACGGAAAAATGATTTATTTTTGGTATTTTCAAATGAAATTCGGAATTAAAAATTACTCAAATTAACATGCAATCTATCCTAGAGAAAATGATTTGATCTATCCTAAAGTGATTCTTTTTTTTGGGATTTTTATTAAAATTCGAAATTATTAAATATCCTAAATAATCCACTAAGATTAAAACAATTTCTAATTTAAATCTAACTAACAATTTTTTAAGATTTTCTTTATTTAAAAGGAAAACAATCAAACAAAAATACCAATCACATTCAAACAATCCACGCAATCCGCAAGATTCTTCAAATTCAGATAAGGCAAAGAAATCAAACTAACGGTCATATCTATAGGGTTATAAATATCGACAGAAAGTTGATTGTTTAAATTTGGAAAGCAAATTAAATCTATTATCGTATCCAAGTGATTATGGACAAGATAACGATTTTCCGTATCGCCGCGTATCGTACCTTAGGGATAAGGTCGGATAGTCGTTCAGATACGTTGCTAAATTAGGAATGATTCCTAATTTTGGGTATTTTCAAATATTGCGGATATCACAAAATTACCCTAAGATATCTAGCTATCCACCAAAATATTCACGAAATATTCAAACACCCGAAAACTAGGAAATTAAATATTTAAGAGAAATATTCGGATAATCTTACCTAATTGGCGGATAATTCCAAATTTGAACTCGGATCGAACTCGGGCTTGCAGATCGGGACGGTGGCTAGTGGACCGGCAGCGGTAGCGATTCTCGGACGTGGATAGCGATGCACGACGGTAGTGCTCGGTCGTAAAGGGACAACCTACGGCGTGGACTTCTCGGACTACAACTTGTGACGCTGCTCGTAGAGGCAGTAGGGCAGGACTCACGGTTTGGGATGCTTGGTTCAAGATGCGTCTTAGAGCTCAGCCAACCTACGAAACAGAAACGATGATAGCGGACAACCGAAAAAATGCAATGTCGTCACGTAATCAAGTGGCCAACATGCAGCGAGACAAAGCAGGCCCAAGAGCAGCAATAGGTCGCCGTGGAGTAGCACCGGTGCAGAACAGCGGCGATGCAAGGACTCGGCGTTGCAGGTGAGAGCGTTATCGTCGTGGTGCAGCAGAAGGACTGTCGACTGGGGAGCGTTGCCGGATCAACAGCAGGGAATAACCACGTCGTCGTCGAGGCAGGAAAACGGCAACGCGATCTGATAAACGTCGCTGGGCTCACTGTTCTGAGGCGTCCAGGATGCCTGCTGCGTCGAACGATGGCTGGGGGCATCGAGGAAAGCTTTGACCGTCTGGGCTCCCCCGAAAGCACTCTTTGGGGTTTACTGCATATGGAAGATGACCAGAAACTATCTCCCCTTTTGCGTTTTCTCCTTTGGCTTCTCTGTGAGTGCAGAACGTGGAGAGCTTTTGCTCTCCACCTTGACCCTCGTGAGTTGAGCCATAGGCAGAAAGAACAAAAACCATATCTCTCTCTCTCGCTCCTTGCTCTTGCGTCTCACGATGTGGCCGAGTATGTAAGTGGTATCCCCCCTCCTTTTTGTGAACCCTTAATGAATATTTATAGGTAAAGTGTAGGGTTTTTTTGCTTATTTCCTACTTCGATTCAAAGAAGATATTGCAATATATGATATTATCAAATCAATTTGTTCAATTTAAATCACGATAATATCCAAACTAATATTTTTCAATTCGACATTTTCCAATGAAAATTTCTGCTCTTACAATGTTCATGGGCTTGGCCAAGAAATTTTTTTTTTGAACGCGGGCTTAGTCCAATTTCATTAAGTTAGAGCCGTTCACTCGAGTCCATTCACCGCCGGTCCGGTAAATATCCAAACTATATGGGCCTATTAATGAAATGCTCCTAATATCTATATGCAATTTAACGAATATTTTTGCTAGGTGTCGGGATCGACTCCTAATTTTCCTATGCAATATGTACCTAAATGGATCGCCAAAATTTAGGTGTCAACACAATATATGTCAAAATTCATGCCCTTCGTATGTGAAACAACACAACTTTTACTCATATTTTTCATATTTTGAAACAACGCGACTTTAGAATCCTAATATGTCTATCGATCTTGCCTTCAACATAGTATGTTTTTTTCAATGAGTGTTTTTTATTTTTTATAGAAGAAAAATCATTCATATTACTACAAAAGTTTGATGCCATCTTTTCATCGTTGTGTTGATTGGGTTAAAGTGAAGTAGTAGTCATCTAAATGTCTGATTAATCTATGGGAAAATTACCAAAAAAGTCATCAACCTATTACATTTGTGCCATTTCAGTCCTAAACCTTTCAATTTGGCCAATTCAGTCCTAAACATTTGCAAACCAGCCAATTCAGTCCTTTTGGCCGGTCGGCGCTGACGTGGCCACCGGCCGGCGCCACGTCAGCCGGCCGGCGTCCATGTGGTAATATTTTAATATTTTTTTTATTATTTTTGAAATTTTTTCTTTTTTCTTTTTTTTTTCTTTTCCTTCTCCCCCCTGGCCTGTCCGGCCAGGGGGGAGGCTCGTCGGCGAGGGCCCAGCTCCGGTGAGGCAAGCTAGGCCCTCGCCGCCGCTGGGTGAGGGCGGAGCTCGCCCACCCAAGGCGAGCTCCGCCTCGCCCAGCTCCGGCGAGGCGGAGCTCGCCCAGCCATGGCGAGCTGGGCGAGCGGCGAGGGCCCAGCTCGCCATGGATGGGCGAGCTCCGCCCTCGCCCAGATCTGGCGAGGCGGAGCTCACCATGGCTGGGCGAGCTCCGCCCTCGCCCGAGCTGGGCGAGGCGGAGCTCGCCATGGCTGGGCGAGCTCCACCCTCGCCCGGATCCGGCGAGGCGGAGCTCGCCATGTGCGGGCGAGCTCCGCCTCGCCGGATCCGGGCGAGGTGGAGCTCGCCTTGGGCCGGGCGAGGTGGAGCTCGCCTTGGCGGGCGAGCTCCGCCCTCGCCCAGCGACGGCGAGGGTCCAGCTCGCCTCGCCGGAGCTGGGCCCTCGCCGGCGAGCCTCCCCCCTGGCCGGACAGGCCAGGGGGGGAGAAGGAAAAAAAAAAAGAAAAAAAAATTCAAAAAGAATAATAAAAAAATATTAAAATATTGCCACGTGGGCGCCGGCCGGCGCCACGTTAGCCGGCTGGCGGCCACGTCAGCGCCGGCCGGCCAAAAAGACTGAATTGGCTGGTTTGCAAAAGGTTTAGGACTGAATTGGCCAAATTGAAAGGTTTAGGACTGAATTGGCACAAATGCAATAGGTTGAGGACTTTTTGGTAATTTTCCCATTAATCTACTCATAAATTAATTATATCTTGCTCGTAAACAAATTGGATCTGAAGATCGATTTAATTGGATTTTGAAGGAACTTAAGTCATTTTACATGTTATTTGTTGTGACCAGCTTAGGAACTCATATTTATTTGCTGTTTCATATGATGATTTGCACATTGTGCACAAATCATGAAGGTTAAAACAGAGATTTTTCTGTGGTTACAATTTTGCTTTATTCTTCGGATAAAACACTAATTATTTTTCCTACAAAAGTTTTTTTGAGTTTTATGTTTGTTGTATTGTTTAATAATATCATTTGTGCCTTTTTTTTCTCTATTTCTGACCAATGTCGTCTTCAGTTTATTATATTAACATTTGTTCACTGAAAAGTATAATAAATTAGTTTTATTAATCTCGTCACTTCATTTATTTGGCTTTTTCTTCATCTCAATTATATAGTTAGTGTTTTCCATTTGAAAGTATTCATGACATGCAAATATGTTTAATTTGTTGCCTGTACAAATCATCCATATGTTGTATTATTGCTTTAGCTGCGTAGCCTTTAACTTTCATGCTATGATGAAATTAATCATCAATCGTAATTTAACATTAGACGAGAAGAATAGCAAAATTAATGGTTAACATTTAATGATGGATAAATGAATCATCAACCAGTGTTATTTACTTAAATATGTGCTGGCAACTAGGAAGAAGGGACATTCATAAGTACAACCTCTAATTACCTTCAAAATAACAAGGTTGACGGTATGATCGTCCTCGTAGATTTGCAACTTCCTAAACATTTGGGAAGTCTGCGTGCTCGGACGGGACGACTCCAAACATGAGTGATGGAGATGTATAAACGAGTAACGGAAAGAAGAGAGGGGCCCACCATTTCGACCGTGAGGTAGTTCAACTTGGAAGGCCGGTTCAAGACCACCTTCCTCACTCCTAAATGCTCTACAAACAGCACCTGCAGGTGGTGTTTAAACAGAGAGGCAAATGCGATCATCGTCTATCAGGCCACCAAGCATACCCCATTTCAACTGGATGGCGATCATTGAGTAGAGAGGACGCACCGGCAAGCCCCTGCAGAACAACTCCGTAGTGCTCAGAGCCTTCATGCTTCACTCTCTCTATCTCTCTCTCTCTCTCTCTCTGATCTCTCCTCCTGTTTTGAGCTGCGCAGGGACCAGGAAGGAAGCTCAATTCCTATTTATATCCAGATCAGAGTAACGTTGTCATGACAAGTGCATCCCACTCAATACTTTATAAGTGTCGCGACCTACCCGTCCCAATCAGGAGGAAAAATATATGTTTGGGTATAGGTCTAAAGGTATTTGTCAGCGGACGTTCATTCGAAAGACAAACCAAAAGGTATATCCATCCAAGGACGGAAGCGCTCCCAAGCCTCGTACCTCGCGCGACGTGGGTTTTTCTAAGCTATGTATTCATCAGGAGTCGCCACTAGGCATAACCAAGGGTTGGCTAGAAACCCTAATCGAGACGCGGAAGTGTTGTCTCGATACATGCGCAACTAGAGATTCTAATGATCGAGGACTTGATTACACTAGTCATCTAATTAGTGCCATTTCATTACCTAAACTTGACCTCTTGCTAACTAACGCGTCAGGACAATCAATCAAAGAGCCTAAAGATCATCCTAATTATGCTAAAAATGAAAAATAACAACCAATGTATTAAAAATGCGCAATCAAATAATCAAAATATAAGTAAGCAACCAGTGACCTAGCATCATTTCTGAAAAAGAAAAGGCAATCAAAAGCCTTGTGGTAAATGCCTAATGGCTTGTTCAATTTTTGGGTTTAATCTCCAAAGGTTTTCACATTTTTTCCATTTTTTAAACTAAGTCAAAAATAAAATTAACACTAAGATCTAATGAAATTAACCCAAAAGCTAAATTCTAAGCCTTTCCTAATTTTTCTGAATTTTTCGGAATTTCTTTATTATTTTATTAATTTTTAATAGATAATAAAAGAAGACCTATCTCTATTTCATGTGTGTCTATGCTTGTTTGTTCAGACTCAGGTGCGGTGTGTTACACTCTGAACAGACCTCACTAGCCACAAGATAGCCTTGGTTTCGAACAGATTCGTCGGAGGAGTCTTGGCACCCCAGACTCGGCCAAAACAGGGGGAAAACGGTTACCTGGTTCGGGTTGTCACTGTGATGGCGAACGGCGAACAGCGACCGGCGGGTGGATCTCTGACGAAGACAACGAGCAATTCCGGCGAGCGGGATGGATTTTGACGCTGTTTCTCTGCTGCTCTCCCTCTCGGTCTGTCTCTCTAGCCCGTCTCCCCTTCAGCTATCGGCCTCCCTCTCTCTATTTGTATGCAGACCCCATTTTCTTCTTTAGTGAGTGATATGTATGGAGGCAACCAGAAAAAGAGAGAAGTGTCGCCCATTTTTGTGTTTCTTTTGATTTTTTCTGCGATGAATGTCCCCCTCTCTCTCTACTTTTGTCTTTTGTGACAATGTATGATGTGCCTAAACTCTCCTTTCTTTTGTACTTTCTTCCTTTTGCTTCTTTTGTGAAAATGTGGATGGAGATAGAGAGAGAGAAGGAATCCCTTCGTATCAGTCCAAGGAAGAGCTCCCCCTTTGTCTTTTCCTTTTTTTCTCTTTTTTTATTTAAAATTTTAATAATAATCTTTTTTATTTAAAAATAAAATGAAAATATGTTATGCTAAATTCCGTTAATGCAAATGCACCTAGTGTCTGCATAATATGCAACTTGGTGAGAATCATTTTTGCTAAGAGCCAAGCCAATCCCTAATTTTCTATGCAACAAATTATTAAATAGGATATCAAAATTTAAGTGTCAACAATAAGCATATGCAACCTCATTCATATAATTTATGATTTTTCACTGTTAATTCTTTTTTTTTAAAACCCATACAAAAGGGTGGAACTATTCAAAAGCTGCACCATACATAATGACACCGTCCTATGCATCAGGACGCGTGCATATGTAAAGGCACGTAAAGAATCGGCGGATTTCTGGCCATCGACCACTCCAACTGCCACATTTGGTGGCCGACGCCCTCGAAAGATCCCTCTTGCAAATTAATTTTTATATCACACTTCAAATTAAACGCTCATTTCCGCCAATTCCTCTCGCTCTGTAAATTAGAACGCATAATCACGCAACCTCTCGATCTCGCAATCTCAATCGCTAATGTAACTTTTCAAGTGCTCCTTCCTTTTCCCTGGAACGGCTAGTTCTCCGAATTCATTAACACGACCCCCAAGCCGGAACAACAATAGGCCAATGACGATAAGACTCAACCTCTGGATGACTTCGAAAAGCAAATGCCTGAAAATGTCCCTACTCCATCCTGGCCGTGTTTGAGGAAAAGAACATCCGGCAGGGGACGGTCTTTCAAACGCAAACTTATTTTAAGGTAGGGAAGAATGGGTCGTTATTTGCGCAATTTGTGAAAATATTTTTCGTGCACTCATCACATGGATGGCCACCTTGGGATTAAATCATTTATAAACTCTTTTTTGGAAAACTTTAAAATATTTGCAAAAGATAAAAAGGGAAGGTCCAGGGCCGGAAATTTTCAAAAGAAAAAGTAGTTAAAATAGGCCCGGGCATGTGGTGAGCTTGCCCTTGGCACGCGGGTTGGCACGGTCCACTACTATGATGGGACTATATGAAAATGTTCAATGTTATCCCAGAGCTTAAATTAATGGAAGGATAATATTATATATTTTAAAATAGCCTAGGGACTAATTTGAACATTTACTAAAAGTTCAAGAACCATATTGAACAAATTAAAAGTTCAACATTGCAAAGTGGGCTAAAGTTCATGGATCACATTGAACAAATTAAAAGTATATGGATTAGATTACATATTAGACCAAAGTTCAGGGATCATCTATGTCATTATCCTCCGTTAAATGATGCCAAATGAAGTAAAATGAGAACTTCTTGCATATAGTTGGTTGACCTTAATAAAAACGCTAACCTAATCCTAGGTGAGTGAACCAAACATGACAAGTTTGGGGATGTAAAGAATTAATAGAATTCTGTTTTCTCATATTGGTAAAGGAAAAAGAGAATGTTAAGACAAATTAAATTAAATTAGAACACGCATATAAAAGTCTGTTCTCTACTTGCCAATCTATGAATCCTGTAGATTAGAAAAGTTTTGAAGCCTGAGAGTCTTATAGTATAGATTAATGATTTCTAGAAATTAAGAGGCAATCCCTTTGAAAGGCCGTGAGCATCGTGTGCATCGTGGGATAGCATAACTATCTCAAGAATTATTAGTTTATACTATAGCCCCCATCATGGTATCAGAGTGTGAATGCGATCGAACTTCGGACGGCTCATCCAGATATGATGAGAAAGAAATTGACCGGAACACAGTCTATGAGTTTCGCGCCCCCCTAGGATTGCTTAAAATTTAGCTTATGATTAGGACACGTGCAAATGTTTTCAAATTGTCGCGACCGAACTCCCGAGCCCTTTTTTTATCGAACATGCAAAAAAAGAAGGGGGGCTCGCCTGGTACGTGCTAAGTCTAGGTTCGGGACTTAACTCGGGCTCTCCCAAGCCCATACCATATCGCGACTTAGGGTTTAAGTGTTTAACATGCAAGTGGTTTATATCAAGGAGTCGCCACTAATCGATTTGGGGTGGGTCGATTAGAAACCCAAATAGGGTGATGGGAGAATCACCCTATTCCTACGAACCAGAGATTAAATGAGTTCGGGGACTTGGTTACACTAGTTGGATAACTAATGCCCTTTCGGTACCATTTTACCCTGTTCATTTCTGAAAACATTTGTCAGGCAATTTGGATTGATTTTAGGACATTTCTCCTAACATGTGAGGTGATCAAGCGAGTGCATAATCAGAAACGATTAGCAGTCAGGAACACAACAATTCATGCAGCCTAAGGTTCTAACCTTAACTAAGTCAGATGACATTCAAAAACACAACAGCTCATGCAATTGTATTAAAACATGCATAACAATACAATGGTAATAAAAACTAACATGCAAAATATTACCGCGCAATCCTAGGCTTATCTAATTTAAACATGGTAAATTATGCATAATAATGCTACAATAAATTAAACACTTAGATAAAAAAAAAATTTAATTAAAAATTTTTTTCGGAAAAAAAAAAAATAATAATACAGAAGAAGAAAAAAAAAATTAATAAATTTTTTTTTAAAATTTTTTTTAAATTTTTTTAAATTTTTAATTTTTTAAATAAAATAAAATAAAAATAAAAAAAATATAATATTAACCGGGTCGGATCCGACCCGGGTCAACGGATCCGACCCGGGCGTTGACCCGAGTCGGATCGGCTGAACCGGGTCGGTCAGACCGACCCGGGTCAACGGATCCGACCCGGGCGTTGACCCGGGTCGGGTCGGCTGAACCGGGTCGGTCAGACCGACCCGGGTCAACGGATCCGACCCGGGAGTTGACCCGGGTCGGGTCGGCTGAACCGGGTCAGACCGAACCCGTGGGAGCAGCCGCCTGCGAGGCCGAAAATCGGCCTCTCGCCGGCGGACCCAGGACCGGGCGCCACCCCCAAATCGGCCCCTGGACTAAAAACGAACCTCTCCACCCACCGGGTCACCGTCCGATCACCCGCTTGCCGCCGGGCGGCTGTAAAAAACAAACCAGCCTCTTTGAGGCATTTCATCGAGCAGGTGGCGTGCGCGGCAAAAATCAAGGGATTTCGGCCTCCTCCGGCGACTCGGTCGGCTCCAACGGCCTTGGTTCGCCTCCAACGGTGAGCAGGGACCGGGACCGACGTCGGTATGGGCCGGGATTCGCACGAAACGGCCGGCGCGAGTCCCGGCCCAACCACGCCGGAAAACAGGGGAAAACAGAGGGGCTTCTCGGCCGCGGGGGGCTCACCGGTCGACGGCGCGTCTGGGCGGTTTCCGGCTAGTCTGGCGGCGTCGACGACCGTTGCTGGTTCTTCTTTAGCTCCGGCGTGGCCTCGGTTTGCTCTCTCTCCCTCTCTATTCTCTCTCTTGTCTCCCTCAGTCTCTCTCTGTGTTTCGCCGACCGGGGGCTCTCTCTCTCTCACTGTGTCGCCGCCGTCGGCTCGGCGGCGGGGATGGATGGCTGAGGCGCGGTGCGAGCACGGCGGTCGCCGGAAGAACTCTCGGTCTCTCTGTCTCGCTCAGTCTCTCTTTCTCCTTGTCTTTTTAGAAACGGCCGACCCCGGGTCTCTCTCTCTCTCGGCTATTTACAATGGACGACGGACCTCTCTCGCTCTTCCGCGTCGGGCGTGACGGCGGCCGCACCGGCCTACGCCACCCCGCGACTTTCGTGGCCATTGCAGGCCGGTGCAGAGCAGAGCATAGCAGAGGGGCCGGTTCAAAACCGAGGCAGAGAGGAAGGAGGAGGGGATAAGGGAGCCGTGAAATCGGGGAGGACGGGACTGGCAATTAATGCCAGTCCCGTCGGCGTGCTCATCCGGCCTTCCTCCGGCGGATAGCGACGGTGAGGAGCGCGCCGCCGTGCGTCACGTGCCGTCGAGCACGAGAGGCGAACAGGGCGGCGAGAGCGACGGGGGAAGAAGGAAGGAGGAAGGCGGGCCGCCGGGCCCAGAGCGCGCGAAGGAGAAGAAAAGGGAGAAGAAAAGAAAAGGGCCCGGGCCCGGGCCCGCGGAGGGGGAAAAAAAAGAAAAGGAAAAAAAGAAATGGGCCGGGTCGGCCCAGGCTCCGACCCGGCCCGACTCGAAATTTTTTTTTTTTTTTTTTAATTTTGTTTAAAATTTAAGAAAATATGCTCTAATAGGCCCTATTAATGCACATATGCCTAATGTCTATATGTAATGCATTTAAATTGAAATACTTTTTGTTTTAGGAATTAACGAAATTAACTCCTAAATTTTGCGCAATTAATTTTGGGCAAATTAAAAATAGGTGTCAACAGCTGCCCCTCTTTGAAGGTGAGCTCGCAGAGATTGGGCTCGCAGAGGTTACGTTCAAAGATAAAATGGCACCTAAATTTGGCCCATGCATGTTCAATGAATGTTATTTTTAGCGAGACCGGAGTCCCATTTTTTATGATGCGATAAGATGATGCGTGCTAAAGCAAATAAAAACATACCTGGGGCTACTTACCTTGCCGAAGGGTAGAGTAATTCCAGATGGTTGATATTGTGTGTCGAGGACCCGAACCTATCTTCGGTCGCCTTGACGGAAAAATGGTTTGTCTAGGACCCGAACCTTTCTTCGGTCGCCTTGACGGGGATTGTTTTTGTCTAGGACCCGAACCTTTCTTCGGTCGCCTTGACTGGGGAAA